TGGCAGGACTAAGTATTATCTAGACCATCCCTGATGGCTGTTTGTCTAGCCTGCTCTTAAAATCTCAAATGATGGAAATTCCACAACCTTCCTAGGCAATTTATTCCAGTGCTTAACCACTCTGACATTTAGGAAGTTTTTCCTACTGTCCAACCTAAACTGCACTTGCTGCAATTTAAGCCCACTGCTTCATGTCCTATCCTCAGAGGTTAAGATGAACAATTTTTCTCCCTCCTCCTTGTAACAACCTTTTATGTACTTGAAAACTGTTATTGTGTCCCCTCTCAGTCTTCTCTTCTCCAGACTAAACAAACCCAATTTTTTTTAATCTTCCCTCAGTCAGAGGTCGTGTTTTCTAGATCTTTAATCATTTTTGTTGCTCTTCTCTGGACTTTCTCCAATTTGTCCACATCTTTCCTGAAATGTAGCATCCAGAACTGGATACAATACTCCAATTGAGGCCTAATCAGCATAGAATAGAACGGAAGAATTACTTCTCTTGTCTTGTTTACAACACCCCTGCTAATACATCCCACAATGATGTTTGCTTTTTTTGCAATAGTGTTACACTGGTCACTCATATTTAGTTTGTGATCCACTATGCCCCCCAGATCCCTTTCCTCAGTACTCCTTCCGAGGCAGTCATTTCACATTTTGTATGTGTCCAACTGATTGTTCCTTCCTAGGTGGAGTACTTCGTATTTGTCCTTATTGAATTTCATCCTATTTACTGCAGACCATTTCTCCAGTTTGTCCAGATCATTTTGAAGTTTAATCCTACCCTCCAAAGCACTTGGCAACCCCTGAAAACTTTATAAGTGTACTCTCTGTGCCATTATCTAAATCATTGATGAAGATATTGAACAGAATTGGACCCAGAACTGAAACCTGTGAGACCCCACTCAATATGCTTTTCCAGCTTGACTGTGAACCACTGATAACTACTTTCTGGGAATGATTTTCCAACCAGTTATGCACCCACCTTATAGTAGCTCCATCTAGGTTGTATTTCCCTAGTTTGTTTATGAGACGGTCATGCGAGACAGTATCAAAAGCCTTACTAAAGTCAAGATATACCACATCTACCGCTTCTCCCCATCCACAAGGCTGTTACCTTGTCAGCCCTATTAGGTTGGTTTGACATGATTTGTTCTTGACAAATCCATGCTGACTTTCACCTAAGCTGCCTTCCAAATTCTCAATCAGTTCTTCCCTATTTGTCCAAATCAAATCTAGAATAGCCTCTCCCCCAGTAGCTTTCTTCATCTTCTGAAATAAAAAAATTGTCTCCAGTATATTCTAAGAACTTGTTGGATAATCTATGCCCGCTGTATTATTTTCCCAGGTGAGAAGATTGTGAGTTCCAACCTTACAGCAGAAATTGAGCTCATGCCCCAGGCAGACACTAGTATAGGGGTGTCTTGTATTCCTGCAGCTCCTGTTGTCCCGATGAAACCTTAGGCAGCCATCTTTACTGCTCGTCTCTAGTGGATGATGTAGACCCCCAAGTATTTTTGAAAGGCTTTTGGATAACTCCAGTACCGTGGACAACATCCTTCTTCTCAATGAAACAAAATGGTTTTAATATCTGAAGCTGTGTGTAGCTGCACATTAATGACTGCTGTTTACTTGTACCTACATTACATTATTTGTACTAACAGTACAAGGGCCAAATTCCTCCCTCTTGGACCAGCCTGGCCCCATGTGCATCGGGGGATTCATTCCTAGTGTTTCCAGTGCTGCTCTCCCTCCAGGTTTCTGGCATCGAGAACAGCTTCACCTTCCACTTTGGCAGTTTTGACTATGCCCCTTCCCTCCCTAGCAATGCCTTCCTTTGGTCTGGGGGCTCTCCAGTGAAGCCAGAGCCTCCAACCAGATTCAGCTTCAAGATCCTCACAGTTTCTCCCCTTTCCCATCGCAAATGGTGAGAAAGTGTGAATACTTTACTAACTTTGGTTTGAGAATGCCACACATAACCAGCCATCTTTATTCATCATTACACTTTAGCTCTTCCAGACGTGATATTTACTATAGCGTATCTGCTCTTAGAATTATTCTAGTAATTTATCCTTTGTCTCAGACTGTAAAATACAGCCACAATGCCTGATGAATCCCAACTTGTCTGCTGCTTGATTCACAAAGTTTAGCAATCTAAGTTTGCCTAGCTCCAAATAAAATAGGGGCTGATCTTATAATTGCTTTAGTGTTAGATTCTCCAGAATGCTCTCAGTGTGTATGACTGCACAGTGTCACAGAACATTTTGTGAAATATATCAAAATACACACAATGTAGGCTAGGAACCATTTTGTGATTTTCCTCTTTTTTAATAAACAATCTTCATAGAACTATCTATTTACAATTTTCTTTAAACTTAGTTTGTAATTTTCACAATTCATCAACCTTCCTCTGTTAATGTAGCAAAGCTGGTATTTTTCAGTGGCATTCAGTTTTAACTACTCTGGTGTGATGCTTCTGGATTGATACAATGGCCCTAAAGTAATTCAGTCACAGGAGTTTCATGTTTGGCAATCAAATATAAAAAAAACCCCTAACACTTGTTACAAGTAGCTGGGAAACAAAGCTCTTGGCTTGATAAATTAGTCAACTTCATATTCATACAAATCCTCTGTCTTCTTTTTTAAGCATGTTCATGTTGGTGACATTATTAACCATTGGCAGCAGTGTGAACTTACAGGGAACATTAGCAACTTTATGCCAAACTAAGGGTCTGATCCTGCAAAGTGCTGAGTGCCTTGCAACTCTCATTGACTTTATTGGCGCTCAGCATGTCGCAGGATTGGGCCCTATATTAGCGCTTAAATCATTTGTAATTATTCTCAGTACTGCCATTAAAACCAAAGAGAAATTAAAACACTTGATGGCCTAGCTTCTAGCATCATTTAACAGGAATGTATTAAGATTGTCTATACATGCGGTAAAATGGATTCGCAGACTGAATGGCCGTTTCAGAGATCTTCTTTCTTTTTCATGATGATCTGCCTGATCAGAGATGCTACTTCTGGCCTGATGTTTTCTATGGGCTCTTCAGGTCTCCAAAATTTCACAACTTTACCTTCTGGGTTGACAAGATACTTCCAGAAATTCCACCTAGGCTCTTTCTTTGAAGAATCTGCAGAAAAGGCATCAGATACTTTTAATGGCCTCAAATACTGCTATCCTTGCAATTGCTTAGCCACAGAACAGCTATTCTTTAACAGTCTTTTGAAAAAAGGAAACTCCCATTCTGTGTTAAGTCTCTTGATCTGGACGTTTGGATGGTTCTATTGATCTAGGAGGGTGAAATGAAAGAATTTTTCCCTTCTCTTTGAAGCAGTGTAAGAGCCAAATACTCTCTTCTGCTTCCTGGGGAGCATGACATGGGAGAGTGCTGCCACCTCTGTGGTTAAACCTCTTCTCCCTGCCCTACAGATGTCCCTCAGTAAGGGCTCCATAGTATTTCTAGCTCTATGGGTTGGCAGGGGGCAGGTGGATACAGGAGATGGGGATGTTGGGGGTGATGGCTGGGTCAATTTCTGCTTGATTCTACCCCTCAGTCTCATGGGGCAAAGCCTCAGATGTTACTCTGTCCTATGGAATTTCTGGGAGTGGGGGTTTCTGGGGATGACAGGCTGCTAAGAAACACCTGGCAGCATGGCTCCCAAAGGCAGCAGCAGTAGAGTCCCTTGCCTTTGCCATGTCCCTGGAGACCCTCACAGATCCTGCAGGTTTAGTTGGTGGAGCCCCTGGCCCTTTCTTGGGGGAACTCATAGTCTTATGGAAGAATTTAAAGAAAATTGTGAGTTCAGAATTGTCACTTCTATAGGGGTGTCATAACTATAAAGGGAAGGGTGGCAGCTCTCCTGTGTACTGTGCTATGGAATCCCTCCTGGCCAGAGACTCCAAATCCTTTTACCTGTAAAGGGTTAAGAAGCTCGGGTAACCTGGCTGACACCTGACCCGAAGGACCAATAAGGGGACAAGATACTTTTAAATCTTGGGGGGGGAAAGGCTTTTGTGTGTGCTCTTTGTTTTAAGGGGTGGTTCGCTCTTGGGACTGAGAGGGACCAGACATCAATCCAGGTTCTCCCCATCTTTCTAAACAAGTCTCTCTTATTTCAAACTTGTAAGTAAAAAGCCAGGCAAGGCGTCTTAGATTTACTTTGTTTTCTCAACTTGTAAATGTACCTTTTACTAGAGTGTTTATCTTTGTTTGCTGTACTTTGAACCTAAGACAGAGGGGGGTCCTCTGAGCTCTTTTAGTTTGATTACCCTGTAAAGTTATTTTCCATACTGATTTTACAGAGATGATTTTTACCTTTTTCTTTAATTAAAAGCCTTTTTTTTAAGAACCAGATTGATTTCTCCTTGTTTTAAGATCCAAGGGGGTTTGGATCTGTATTCACC